TAATGATGTATTGACTGGTAACGATCCCTTTACAGTAATACATCAGCGATATCGCGCATATTTTATGCGCCCGCACAATGGTAGCTGCTCATAATTTATGTATCGTCGACGATGCATTTTCAGAGAAACGGGTAACCGACATTACATAATTCATTGAATTTATACGAGCAGGATAACAAACTGTATGGACTATAACGTCATAAATCATGACAGCCTGAAACAAGAAAAATCGAAGGACGCGCGCACAACGTAATATTTTTCGTCAAGGATGTCTGCAGCGAAAAATAATTCGCAATGATGTTAACTGAAAGCGACGCAAATCCCCTTCGACTTTAAACGCTCATGGAAGATGTAATCAGCTTTAGGCGAAAAAAGAAAAAGAAGCCTTTATCAGGGAGCCTCGACCTTAATTTGTTGAAACTTAAGCAGTTTGGACAATCAAATCGCAAGATTGTTAATGAGTAACGCTATTTTATTTTTTAATTAATTTCAGCTCCGTCTTAGAGTTAATTACCGCGATATTATTCCGTGAAAACTGAAAAGTCGCGAACAATGGACGCGCCTTTAATGCTCGCTAAGGCAAAGTCGCTCCAAATTCATTAAAAAGTGTATTCTCGCGATTAAGTCCTGCGTTTTTTCAAAATCTGCCAAATAAATCGACAGCCCCGTCGCGCTGCGTCGTCGCATCTTTCGCAAAGCGCGTATTTGAACTTGCGAATTTACGTTTCCTAACGAGATGAGAAGAACATATATGTGTATATTTGAAATATATTTAACATATTTTGACGCTAAATATATTTAATAAAATATATTTTATTAAAATATTTTCTCAATTTCGTGGGGAAAATGTCTCGTTAAGTGCGACGTGCACAAAGGTGGAAATCGCTTCGAGGATTCGTCTTCGCAGCGGTTTATAACGTCTCATCGGGCTGTCGCGCGCGGCTGTGTTGTCTCTCGCCGAGACCGCCGCCGGGGCGTGCACGCTCAGCGGGGGTGCATTATAGATTATTGTCATTCTCGTTGTTGCGCAATCTACATAGTTATACATTATCCGACCGCCACACAAGGCGTATTCCATCGCGTTCGCGACGGACGTGTGCGCGCACACACGTAAGCGGAATGTTGTGGTTTACGTTGCATTAACTTTGGACGATCGAAGAATCGACTCTCTTGTCTCGTTGATTCTTCATGCCTGACCCGTAATACACGACACGACGCGCAAACGTTCTTATCAATTATTCTCGCGGGATTTATGGCCGCTGGATGCTCGTCTTTATTTCATCACCGGCATTTTCGCTTTTAATCACGACGCTTCATCGCACAGCACACAGGGAGTGTTCTTTTGCTCGAGATAACTACAATGCGACCTACACATACACACACGCACGCACACACGGACGAATCGACTCTTTAAATCTCATCTCGCAATGCTTTTTGTCCACGAACATGACGAGAACAGGGACCCGTAGTCCTTAATTGGTCTTAACCGAGCCGTGCAAAAGAAACGTCCCATCTCAACGAGAAAACTCATAGCACGTAGCTTTGCGAATACTCGAGAGAAAGGGAGAAAGAGAAGGAAAGAAAGATTTTCGCTCGGCTAATTCGCAGTTACTATTAGTGCTTAATTGGTCGGACAGCGATTTCCCCCTCGGGATTTAGTCCTTCCTGGGACTCAACACGCTACACAGGGACGACACAATTCTCGGCGAGATTGGTAAATTAATTATTGAATTTTTACGCGGTGCGCATTTTCACATGTGTAAAATGCAATGTTCAACGTGATAAAAAATGCCGCGAGATTAACAGGTTCATTGGAGTCGAGTTTCGTATAATTCCCGGGAGAACTTCAAACGATCGTCATCCGCTTTGTATACAAAAAAAATAATCCCTTCTATTGTAGTAAAAATCACGTTAAAATTATATTGATATTATATATTTAAAATTATATTATTACTACTACAATGTGTTTTTGTAAAACTGTATTGTGCCGAAATTGTAGAATATATTACTACTGAAATAGGTAAATTTCACAATATACGATATAAAAAAAGAAAACATTCAAATAATTGTAGTGAAAAGTAACATTCTCATATAAACATACATTTCATAAACGTACATTTCGTAAACGTACATTTTATAAACATATAGTAATTCATAATTCTGCATGTCTAAAATTACAAAAATTTTGTTGTAATTTTTACTACAGTATTTACTCTCCGTGTATTTCTTTTCTAAACATACATCTACCATTGCCATCAATATACTTTGTAATTGTATTACTATGCACAGTTAATGTATACAGATAAAGTGATAATTAATACGTTCATTGCTCGTCAATGAATGAATAATTATCCATTCATTTCTATATATTAATAGATATTAGTGAGATTATGAAATGGAAACGAGGTTACTGGCAAAATTTGATGTCATCATAATCAGCAATAAATTAAACGTGTTAGTGAGTAAAATTGGAATTTATTGCAGTTAGATCTATTCGATATCGGGTAAGGATTAACGTTAAGTCGCAAATTAAATGACACCGTTCGTGTATTACTTGACTAACAAAATACAATATGTATGTGTGCGAAACCTGATATGAAAATATGTAATGCATAAAGTATATATAACGGATGAGATATTTAAAAAGAGAGAGATACCATAGGTTAAACGCCAAAAGGTAGACGCGCGCTTGAAAAAATTTCGTGGGAATAATCTCTCACGTATAAAATAAACGGGAATAAAAATGAAATATACAAGATACAATCTTATGTTACGCCACATTCAGTTTGAAGCGCCATTATAAATCCGATCGTCCAAGGATCGCTGCCTTAACCGATAAAAATTCAAGTGCGCGCCGCGAAAATATCGACCGCCCGCGAGACACACAGGAGGAACAGCAATATCCATAAAATTTTCAGTTGCTTTTAATATACGGCAGAAATTCGGCAACGGTCTGTTTTCCAGCGGAATAAAATGTTTTTTTTTCAGCGCGAGCGCGCGTCGGCGTGACAGACGATACTGCCATAACTAAAATAACAGCCTTATTTCACGCGGTGGATTTCCATTTCGGCGAAAAGCCCGCGTTCTCGCGTTCCCGCGCGCGTGATTTACATCTGGCTTGCGACCAACTTCGCTCGTAATTATCCGTGTAATTCGACCGATCGAACGATACGCTCTCGAATATCGCGATATCAAGGATCCGCAATTTCGGTATTTATCCCGGCGCGCTCATAAATCCCGACGAATTACGCAAATAATGCGCCAGGTCGCGAGCGCGAGCGTGCTATCCCTGACATACACACACAACACACACACACACACACACACACGGTTATTATCGAATCCCGGAAACAGTAAGCTTTTCGCGGCCATATTGTATCACCTCGATTCGGCCGCTGTCAATTAAATCGCTTCGCCAAAACACATGTGTGCGCACGAGGTAAGAGCAGCGGCAGTCGTGCGAGATGTTTTCTCACCGCAACGACGTTATCTCGCGTTTCTACCCGAGCTGCGGGAACCACCGATGTCCCGGGACAGGACAACGCTGGACAAAGGCGGCGGACATCACCTGGGTCTCTCCCACCTTCTCAAAGGATCCTCCTGTGGTAGCCGCCGTTAGTGTAAACGCCCGGCCGGCCGTGTGTTACTTCCAGTTACCGGCCAAAGTAACCATGGTCACCCATGGGGCACGGTCCTAGCCACAGCGGCAGCACCGTGGCCGGGATGATCCGTTAGTCTGTTCTTACCCGCGGTAGGACGTAACGCGCGGGTCGGGGAACGAGCAAACTTTGCGCGCGAACTCCATATCCCACATCGATACTGAATTATGTGAAGCTCGTGATCCGAATTCGCCCGTGCGCCCCGCGACTAAATCTCGCTCCCTCTCCTTCCCTTCCCTTTCCCCTCCCCCCCGATTTTCAACGATTAAATTTCTTCGCCGCCTCCGCGCCGCACCCTCGTACTTGTTGCGCGGGAAGCTATTTCGCGCTCGCGCGCGAAAATCGCTTTATCTGAATGCAGCATCATACGGGACAGCTTAATTCCCGAGAGAAACTTTTTAACGGAAGATCGCCAGATTATCATCAGCGATTAACTCGAACTTGGAATTCCTCGCGTCTAAGAGGCAAACACAAATCGTTAAGCGGCAATTAAAGTAGACCGGTCTTAATGGAATTTTGCACGAGGGAAATCTTTCGTGTTGTCACCATTATACAGGAATGAGATTCCGTTTGAAGCAAAAGAAATTGTCAAATGACAAAAATTGTTTTAAGTATTTATAATACCGGCCGCTTCCAAGGATCGCGGCTTTAAATAATAGTTTAAATATTATGCAAGTTTCAGTCTTAAAAAAATCGTGACAAGTATAATAGAAGAGAAAATATAATAAAAAATTCAATATAATAATATTGAAAAGTTCACAAATCTGTATTTTATAATCTTTTTATGGAAAGATTCTAAAAAAAACATCGTTAATTCATGCCAAATTACTCTTAAAGAGACCTTAATTAGTATAATATTTAATTATACTTATAATAATATATTTGTACATGTACAGAAAATGTTAAATATTATTATATGTAGTGAAGGTAATATTTTTTTTTAAGCGAGTGTTTGCCTGTGTAAATCTCTGTACTAACAGGAACCGGCGTGTTTTATTTGCGTGTGCACAAGTTAATATTTCCAAATGAAGAAATTGCTTGTTCAACGCGCATTTTGTGCCACAGGCGTGTAAAGCTCAGCGTTTTCCTCTTCAGATCTACATGTCTGAGAACTCTCGATAACCAGGTTCACGTTTCATTCGCGTTAATTCCGACTCCGAACTAATTGCTTCTAGAGTATCCATGTTATCTCACTCGTATAACCAGATTAACGTATGTTTGACAGAGAACGCGACGTGTTATCGTCCTAGACGTCGTTATCGTCATGATACTCGTGTCGCACTTGCAAACGTGTCCTGCTTGGGAAAGCAACGCTAACGGATCGTCATTTTGATTTTACAGAAATCCAAACATCATCGATCATCATGGTAGAAACGACACTGTCTTGCCGGCCAGCAGAGAGAAGAGTCGATTTCGCAGCTTGTCGTGGGAGCAGTACGACCCAGTGCACCAAAAGTACTTGGAAATTGGTAAGTGACACCACATTGGACGTTCATATATTCTCATTTGTCCCCTTAGACACACGTGTTGCGACACGAACGAACATTATCAAAGTAGGAACTGCGATCATAAACGACACGACTCGTTCAAGTCTCCGATATTTCTACAAAATATCCCAAACAACGTTCCCTTAATATAACAAAGGCGTAATCTCTAGAAATCTTAAGTCCTACAAACGAATGTTATAAATGGGAGTCGCAATCGTAAGCGAAACAGTCCGCGAGATTTAATTCTTTAATATTTCCACAAAGTATCTGGAATCAAATTCCAAATAGCATTCCCTTGATACAATAAAAACATAGATAATCTTTAGAACTTTTAAGTGTTCGGTTGGTTCTCACAAACGAGCCCTCAACTTTTCGCAGCTACTCCGCGTGCATTTCTCACAAAGCGGCCGTAACGGAGAGCCGACAGTGAAAATGAAGAGAGAAATGGCCCGTCGATTATTGAATTAGCCCAATAAAAAACTTGCAGGCTTTGAGCGCCTCAACTTCTGATTACCGCATCGATTTAAAATACCCCGACTTGGGCTTATTCTGAGCGCGCATTCGGGCGCGTCATTCTGAACCATTCTGGGCGGCCATTCAGAGGTTAAGCAAAACGCGTTAATTCTTCGTTTGCTCGTTACTCAAATCGGCGGCGTGGAGAGACCGAATGCAGATAGCAGGCCGAAGGTGCTCTCTCGAATTTCTGAGCAAATATCGAGACCTGTGCTCCCGTCTCATTTCGAGTGCAGCCACTCGGCGTTCGATTCGTCTTCACTTGGCCGTGCGCATGAAGAAAGCGTTCGCTGGCTGCCGAGTTAGCTCGAATTAGAGCGGGTCAGATCCCGGGCGAGCTTTCATCGTTTCGTACGTGAGGGAAGAAAGGGCGGCAGATGAAGTGTCGTGCCAGGAACATGGTTTGCCACTCGTGTGTAGCTGTCCGAGCCGAGGCGAAGAGCGGCTGGAGACTTTTCCGCGGGGTCATTTTTATTTTGAGGGCCGTGCTCGAGCACGCCGTATATGACGCGGGACGAGCTCTTTGACCTGAAAAAAAGCCCGCGGTTTATTCTGTAAGCTAACCACTTACGGGCGAACGAGAACGCGAGCCTGCGAAAAATCGAACGCCTGCATGAATTACCTTTAACCTCGCCAAACGCATTTGCGCAGTTCGTTACGCGTATCAACATACGCACGCACGCGCGCGCGGCTGAAAAATTGCCCGAGCTGACTATTCGATTGAGGTGGGAACTGATGCGGAAGTAGAGTTTAATGTGTTTCATTGCGAACAACTGTAATTCCTACATTCGTCGCGCGAGCTCTTGACCGATACGAATGATCATGGATGTCTGTCCCAAAGTTTCGTTCGATTTTCCAGTTGAACTTGATTCTGTCGCAGACTGTGGCGACAGATTATTTATCAAGCAATCGCCATCGTTGCCTGTGACCCTACATCAACGACAACGAGACGTTATCGGCAGGGTCGTCTGTATTGCGTGCGTGACGTCATTCATTGAAAATCGAGCCTCTTGACTGAGGCGACATTTCAAACGGCACGTTAATCGAAAAATGAATAGTCGCGTAATTGGCCGCTTTTGTTCTCCTTTTTGTTGAAAATAATTTTATCAATAGACCTATTGTCGGAACTGCGTCGTAAACTGGTAAACGGTTGATTGTCGAAATGCGTATTCGGGTCATAGCTCTGAGATCTCGAAAGAATTGGACTCAACTTGGAAAGAAATTTTCATCGAGATTGCCACCGCGAGAAACACGATGTTCACCATTTTTCACAAGAAAGTCTGCTGAAAAATGGCGTCGGACCAATAGCCCGCATTCCAGCGTTGTTCGAGCCGACTCGAGTCGACTCGAGTCGATTCTCTGGGACGCCCACGCGTGATCCAAGAAAAATGTGCCGTGAAAATGGAGCAAAAGGGTAGATCTTTATTCTCCCTGTGATTAATTTTTTGTCTTCCTCCCTTTCTCTTATCTGACTTGAGTGAAGGCCTTTTGACGGCTGAAGGGTCGTCCGCAAGAAAACAGGATACCCGCCAAAGATACCGATATATTATGTCCAACACGCTTGCGACACGAATCAGAGTGTACACACTTTTATGATTTACCTTCGTATATAAATATCGTTGCTCCAGGAGTTGTCATTGTCTTATCCCACATCGCGTAATGAAATGATATCGTCATCAAACACTACCAGTCGTACTGTAAAACCTTCCAAAAACTCCAGTGAGACATCAATATCTTACCCCTATTCCTCTGGCGCCAAGCACGAAACTTTTAGTTTTTTTTTCTTTTACTAAAACTACATTAATGTACTACTTAATGAAATGAAAGTAAAAAAAAAATTGTACGTTTAATACACAAAATCGATAGCGAAAGGCTTAAGAATTTTGCGTTTAGCATTCCCTTCTCGTTTTAGAGAAAAACTCTCTTGAGGCCATACACATAAGAGAATTTTCGTTAAAGATAAGATTATATCTTTATAGACATCATAGATAAGATTATATCTTTATGGACGCACCAAATTGTAATTTTGTCTGTTATAAACGTGCGATATAAGTGATAAAATTGCTGATTCTCTGAAATCCAAAGCAGACGTTCTTTGAAAAAAACTTACGTAGAGGTATTTTATTCTCTTTTCTTTGCAACTAATCCCGACCTAAATCTGGTTGCAAGTATCCGTTTGATGCGCGCGGTAGCCTCGCAACATTACGTCGAGACGATCAGCAGGAATGTCCGTGTGCAATTGCAGAAACGTAGAACATTGTCGACGAGTCTGTTTCGAATTTTACGTAGCGCGGAGAAATTCAATAATCTTTTGTTCCTTCGATTCGGTTTAATCTTCGATTTCCGGCAACTCGGGGGGATGAAACGGGCGGGGCTCCCGGCCGAAGCGAAAACAGCAATCGACGGTTCGAGTAGTCGTTGTTTTACGTCCCGGCATTCCGCTTTTGTTCGCTTACCTCTCACCGCAGTGCTCGCTATCTGCTTCGCAATAGTTTTTGCCCCTCCCAGCTCTAGCCTTCAACCTAGCGTGTAGCTGTTTCTTAACCTTGATATAAATGTACTTTACTTTAGTATCGACTACGCTCTAGCCGACCCTCAGAGAGGCCGTTACCTCCCAACTTATTTATGCCATAATTCACTTTACACGTAGTATTCTTCGGGAACTCGGCGCTACGATGATTGGATTTATCATTAGATGGATCGTACCGTCGGATTTCCCACGTTGCACCTTTTGTCCCGAACTTTCTGATATCAAGAATTCCATACGGAAGCCCTACGATCTCTCCCTAACTTTTCTTCAAACTATATCGCTTATTTCTCCGTTATTTTATATCAAATTACATGAAAAAGGCATTGTAGTAAAAATTACGTTAAAATTACATTGCTTTTTATAATATCTTTTTGTTAGATTGTATTAAAATTGTAGTATAAATTAGTGAAATGTAGTATAAATTAGAAATAGTATAAATTTGATAATCTATCTGATATACGCTGTAAAAAATGTTCAAGTATAATTGCAATAATACAAGCAAATATTTAATCTATAGGAGAACAATAATGTCTGACAGTGCCAACGTACACGCTGAATATTTTTTTAAACTTTGAAACGCACGCGTTTGAATCAAACATCAGAGCTCGACCCTTTATCCTAAATAATTCTTATTAATTAAACCTGTTATCAACCCCCAACTATTTTAACATTTTATTTCCGACATTCTTTCTATAATGTTATTAATTTTAAAACAAATCTGCAATAATTTCGATCATAATTCTCTGGTTCAACATTGAAAAAATTTTGTTGTCGTTTTTGCTACAACATTTGTTCTGTGGCCATTGTTTACTTCTTTGTTACTATTCTTCAAGTTTCCTTCTTTACAGAAGTAAACGCGCATTTCTATTCCTTACGGTTGCTCCTTCCAAATTTCCTCCATACTCACAGCATAAAATAGAATTAGCCGGCAATGTAAAATCTAATTAGTCCCAAATTCCAAGGCTATAGAATTCAGAGGTACTGCGAAACTCTCGATAGCTTTGAGTATCGAAACCCAACAATCCGAGATAAGTAAATTACAGAAGCCAACGAGACGCCATAGTGAGCGCTACAATGAATGTCGCTTGAATCCAAGAATGCCTTATTGTAGCAAACGTAACGAGCCTTCAATTAAACCAGTCGGACGCGACGAGTCTTTAATTAAAAATGGCGAAAAAAAGCTGGGCAACGCGGAATGTCCTGAAATTAGAACAATCGCACGTATCATGACAGCGATGCTTGCTGCTCGAGGCATTCCCGAACGATCTATCGCGCAAGCTTCGTTGACGCACAACTCCGCTCGCGCGGGTTGTTACGGGCGCCATTGTTCGTAATTAAATCAGATCCCTCCGTATTTCCTTCGTTTTTTCCTTCCTCTTCTTTTTTCGCTGGCGCGCTGAGAGCTCGTAAAGCCACGGCGAGCGCTGCGCCGAGGGTTTATATCCTGTACGTGATGAACGGTGACATTTGACACGGGTAGACGGCGTCACGTTCTCATAACGCTCGGTATAAACACCTACTATGTGTTCCATAAGATAACGTCCGGCAAACTTACATAATCTTGCGACACGCGTTCGGTCTTGAACATGGTGCGATATTTTATTCAAAATAACACGCCAACGCGTAATTTTCCGCGCGTTTCCTCTCACCGCCACTTTCGTACGATGAAAAATGCGACACGAGCGCTCACATTGTCGGCATCGAATCTCTTCTGAAAAATTACGAGGAATATGAGAATCCTTCTCGAGAACGCAATTCTTTGTTTTCAATTTCGAGAGGATCGTCGAGAACGTGAGTTAAACGTATAAAATGGATTAAACGCGGGCTCAAACAAGCCTTCGTCCGTCAGAAAGCTGCCAAATGTGCCGGACGCGAGTGTACTTCGTACAACGCCCTGTATAGAAAGCCGTCACGTAAAGCTCGTAACGGGTTAGCGAGA